CCCCATCTTTTTCCCACTTCCTTTGCACATGCTGTGCTCCATTTACTATGTAATTATGCAGTTATATCATGGTCTTTCACACCTAAGGATAACAGCAGCGCCACTTCACTCCCATCATCCGCATTTCTCTTTGTATGGTGACATCCTAGCAACCTCATCAAAGATAATACAAGTGTTATTTTCTGCAAATCCTTTCAAACTTAATCCAGAGTTAGTTATCCCCTCCTCCATGCTGCCTCAAAATTTATGTCTGTTCTAACAATTTTCCTTTTATATTACATCATTTGTTAGCTTCTGAAATCTTCCCAATGGCAGAATTCACTGTTCTCTTTATGAAGTCCAATGTCAAACTAATTAAAAACAGTAGGCAGTAATTAACTGTTGAACTGATCAATTAATTAAAAATTTAAAAGGAGAGTAAAATATAGTTCAAGTACTTAGTATAATGCAAGGAGAAAAAAAACTTGAATTTATGTATTATTTCATTTGCCGAATGAGAAATCCAAAAGCTAATTCTAAATGCATAGAAAAATAGTATAGATAAAAGATTGAATAAAATATACTACATGGGTCATTTGGGCTGGATAAGACAAAAATCAGTGTATGCTACAGTAAGCAGTTGCTGAGAAAAATATATCAATTGTATAAGTCCTTCTTAAAGAACACTGACAATTTCATTCTTTTCGAAGCAATAGATATTCATTTTAAATATATTCCTATCAATAAAATCCCTTTGAAATTGCTAGGGAGTAATAACACGTAGTTGTATTTTTTATGTATCATATCACATATTTATATGATTTATGGTTGAGCTTCCTGGTACAGTGTCGTCGCCTGAGCTGGAAGAGGAGAACATCTACGCTTAAGGGCCCCTTGGCCAAGGTTTTAGTAACCCCGCAGTGTTCAGGAGGGCATCTTTGCTTGTGCTGCCCAGCACGATGCTCTGGAGCCTGACAGAGTAAGCGAAATGCCAGTGTGAATGGGAGGTCTAGTTCAGGCTGTCAGAACTCAAGCAGCATGACGAGGATACCCATGCAGGAAATGGCCCAGCTCTGGTTGTCAGAACCCAAGCAGGACGAAAGGGTTATGCACACAAGATACAGGGTATGAATCCCAGTACCTGGTTGAGGATCGCAACTGGAAAGAAGGGTACCTAGCAGAAGACATTAGAACACAAATGCAGTTAGGAGAACGTTGACCTGCCAGGAGAAAGAGTGGGGCGGGTGGCCCAGCATGAGTTGTCAGAGACTGAATGCGTGAGGAAGGCATCCACAGGCTGATGATTCAGGGGATCCAAGGCTGAGAGAGGTGTAGAGGGAATCTCTGAATAAAGACCTAATGGTGTGAGCAGGGCACACCCCAGGAGGAGAAAACAGTCAAGCATGCCAGAACCCATCAGCCTGAAGCAGGCATCTTTGATGTGGGACAGCCTTGCCTAAAGTGTTAGATCTCAGTCAACTTATAAAGAACGTTAGTGTGGGAACAGTGGGCTGATGGAAGGTAATGTGAAGCAAAAGAAACGGCAGATCAGCTACACAGGGGATAAAAAGTAACAACCAAATGTACTAGGTACCATGGAAGGCAGGTTTCTCACTGTCAGAGGACTTACAAAGAGGGAAATACTAGAATAAACCTTGTGGTGTTGGTTTAGAATTAGAGATAGTCTGACCACCAATATATAGTCAACCAACTTATATCCTTATCTTTATAAAGTCTTCACTCTTAAGCTTCTCTTCTCATCCAATCAGTGGCTTCATCAGGGTTATTTACTTAGACCAATGGAATCATCTTTGATGACCGTTTGTCCATATATTAGCGATCCTCAAATCCAACCCTGTAATTCCCATATTCATCCTATCTTCTTCATCCCATTGCTTTCTGTTTAAGTCTTCATTGCCTCTACGGGCACTATTGTAATGGTCCTCTAACTCCTCTCCCATTCTTAATCAGTCCCTCCATACTGTTACAAAATCGGTCTTTCTAACCTAAGAGCTTAGCCTGATTACATCACAAGGGTGCAAGAAAATCTTCACTGACTTTCCACTTTCTACAGAACAAAGGCCAATGTACAAGGTACTTGACAATCTGACCTCATTAAACCATTTCACCTTTATCTCTTAAATGAATGCTAATCAATAGCCCTTCCTCTTCCTTTGACTTGAATAACAAAAAGTAGTAATCGGTTGTTTGTTTTGAATTTATTTTCTCATGTGATTGTCACATGATATAAGTATTGCTGTATCCATCTTCCAAATAAAGTAACCAAAGCACAGAGAGGTCATATTCAGTTTTCCAAGGTCACACAGCTAAGAAGTAGAAGAGTGGGAATTCAATCCCAAGTTGTTGGGTTGTAAAGCCAGTGATTTTTCAAAATACCACATCACTGCTCCTGTTGCAGCAGCTACTAAATTGCCAAGTATTGACATTGAAAATGAAAAAGAGATTATGTTTTCCACAAATTTTTATTTCTTCAATGGGAGTATGTAGATCATTACGTAAAATAATATACTTTGTGATTTTAATTGAGAATCAGGTTTTTGTATATCTTATTTTATTGTGCTAATGAGGGTTCAGTGGAAAGGGTAATGAACAGGATTTTTTTAATGAATACCCATTTTGATTTAAACATAATCTTAACTTTGTTCAAAACCTTTTTATTTGTCATGATCTACCCCTATTGCTTCTTCAATACAGAGGTAGTCTGTGTGTTAACATTAACAGTTATTATTTCTTATATGGAATATACATATTCAAATCACTCCTTTTCATTGTATTTAAAAAGTGATAACTAATGTTGACCCATCCTTCTATTAAATGTATTAATATAACCAATTATGAAATATAAAAAAGCCTAGTCATAGACAATAAAAGAATGAGAGAGCAGAGGTGATCTAGTGTGTGTGCTACTGAAGTTGACTCAAATCGGGCAAAGCAAACCAAGATACTAATGCCTATGATCCTATCAAAAGCCTTAAGATGGGCTTTATACAGTTAAGCTTACAGATATTTGGTGAAGATAGTTTCAGAAAAGCACCCATTTGGAGATAATAAACCCAAGGCCAGATAACAGAAAATTTTGAAAGGGGTACAAACCTTACTTATGAAAGTAAATAGAGGTTTGTGAAGTTTGAATACTTTTTACCTCCTCATCCATAGATCATACTCACCTTGCCCGTAGGTAGGCAGTGAAGGTGCAATGTCAGAATGAGGGTAGAATGAGTGAATGTGACGAGTTGGAATTAAAAGTTTTAAGTCTAGTCACTGTGATAACTGTTTCTTACATATACTATTACTTACCTTTCTATTACCTCCACTCTCTCACCCTTCTATTACTCTTCCAATGGCCACAGTTCATTGCCTTCAAAAATGATCATTGGATGTTGGTTGGTCAATCCATTGATCCCAGTCTATCTACCTGTCTTAAAGTTGTCACCGTTTAGACAGACTAGTCAAATCTTTGGTATGACTTTCTCACATGCCTAAAGTTAATCCCAGTATATCTTCTGTGTCTTTCTTCTACACCAGTGGGCATCCCTCAACCTGGGTCTAAACCATCACAACAACGCTATTGATTCTGGTGACAACTCCATGATAAAGAGCAAATAACTTTTGCAAATTAACCTCACATTTAGTCATCTGGTCCAGAGGGGATCTACAAATACTATAAAAACTGCTGAGTGTACACTTTTAAATTTCTAATTTATTGTGGTTTATATAAGACATATTCACATACACGTATTTCAGTATTTTATACCAATTTAGTGAGTTTTGGGTATTATAAATTCTATAGTATAGATTACATGTCTTTTCTTTCCAAGTGCAAATGGGCTTATTTATACCCATAGATTTAAGAAATCAGGTGTCAGGAAAAATCCCAGTAAATAAAGGGTATTAGTAGTTTCACTGAAATACCCTGCAGCTTCTTTGAATTTACAAAATAATGTCAGCACCCTAAGACCAACAACATACCCTAAACTTTCTAATTTTTTTTTTCCTGACTGGCACTCCTCTACCCCACTTCTATTCAGGATATGTTTGTGCAGACCATTTACATTTGTACATAGACATTCACAACACACACATCTAGCTTCATGCACAAACATATCTACCCATATAAAACATAGCCACACATTTATAAAATATGAAATTATTTCCATAAAATGTAGCTATACTGAAACAGAGGTTGTATGACTTTGCTAATTATCATGACAACCTACCACAGATTGGGTGGCTTAACAGAAATTTATTTGCTCATAGTTCTGGAGGCTGGAAGTCCAAGATTAAGGTGTTGGCAGATTTGGTTTCTTCTGAGGCCTCTCCCCTTGGCTCCCTTCTCACTGTCCTTTCTTTTGTGTGTGGGCATCACTGATGTATCTATGTATGTCCACATTTTCTCTTCTTAAAGCGACACAAGTCAGATTATATGAGAGCCCACACTAACAGCCTCATTTTAACTTAATTACTTCTTTAAAGGCCTTATCTCCAAATATAGACACATTCTGAGGTACTGGGGGGTCAGAGATTCAACATAAGAATTTTGGAAAGAAACAATTCAGCTTAAAATAGAAGTTAATCATAAATTAACTTTAAAAAAATCTACTGGAGTTATTACATTTGCATATTACATGTATACAATTTTCAATACTCAATATACTAACTTCATGTTTAAAGTTATATTTATACTCTATAACCCAAAACAAAAATTGAAATTTGTCATCATGAGATCTATTTGTAGGACATTTCAGATATACTTATGTAACATTATATATATATATATATATATATATATATATATATATATATATATATATATATATATATATATATATATATATATATATATAATTTTAGAGCTTCAGTGGTGGGTCAAGGAAGAGACTTAAGAAATCACACATCTCATTTGAAATGACTATCTTCCTTTCCCCCATTATCCCAATGTTCTGGTGCATAATAACTATTAAATATGCATATTCCTTAATGTTTATCGATACTATTTGCTACTATGGATTAAAAAAAGCATGAAGAGGGTTCCTAAGCAGTAATTTTTTCACAGCCACTTTCACCTCTTTGTTTCGTAGACTATAAATGATAGGATTCAACATGGGGGTTAATCCAGCATATACCAAAGCTATAAATTTGTCTATTTCCTGTGAATCTACTGCTGAGGGCTTCAGGTACATTGAGAGCGCTGTCCCATAGAACAAAACCACCACAGTTAGGTGAGCTGCACATGTTGAAATGGCTTTGCTTCGACCATCCACTGAGGTGATTCTTAGGATGTGGTAGAGAATGAACACATAAGAGATACAAATGAGAAGCATCTGCACAGGAAGAAGAAATATACTGACTACCAGCATAATTAATTGCACCGTGGAAGTGTCTTCACAAACCAGTTTCAAGACAGCCAGAATTTCACAAGCAAAATGGTTGATGATGCTATTTCCACAGAGAGACTGATGCAGCACAGACGTCGTTTCCACCAGGGCGGTGAGGCAGCCTGTCACCCAGGAGCCTGCTGCAATCTGCGCACAAACCCTCCTGTTCATGATAATGGGATACCTCAAGGGGTTGCCAATGGCTACATATCGGTCATACGCCATCATAGACAGGAGCACACACTCAGTGGAGCCCATAGCGAGAGAGAAGTACATTTGAGTGGCACATCCTGGGAATGAGATGGTGTTTTTCTCTGAAACAAAATTTGCCAGCATCGGAGTGAGAGTCGAAGAAGTATACCAGATGTCCAGAAAAGAGAGGTTGCTGAGGAAGAAGTACATGGGTGTGTGTAGGCGGGAATCCAGGATGGTGATGGAGATTAGAATGATATTACCCAGCAAGGTGACCAGATACATCAGCAAGCACAGCAGAAATATGATGCTTTCAGCTTTGGGGTAGTGAGTAAACCCCAGAAAAATAAAACTTGAAATGACTGTTAAGTTTGTCTCGCCCATTTCATTCCATATTGTTCACCTGTCATAGTGAATAAAAGGATACATTGTATATATTTTAAAAATCTAAACTCTACCAACTTTCAAGGTGTCTTTACTAGTGGTACTTTAAAAGAATCATTATCCTGGCAATACCATATTAATTATTCAATCATTCAAAATTTGGTGAATACACTATAAGTCACTGAAGATCTAGAGCTGAATTACATAAAAGTTGCTCTCAGGCAACTCACAAGAAACTATAAGACACAGTCAAGTAAGTAAACAATTACAAAAAGTATGCCCCAGAGTACTAGGAAAACATGGAGTAGGTATCCTAACTCTATGCTGGAGGTATTGCTCAGTGAGACATTTTGAGAACTAGTTTCATCAAAAAATGCATTGGACCTACTCAAATTAAGGACCAAGGAGGTTTTCTAGCAAAGATAAATTTTTTATAAAAGCTAAAACAAGAAGAGATTTGGTAGTACTTCATAAAGCTGCAAATTATGTACTATACCAGATGGATATGCTTCATACTAAAGAACATAAATAGAAGATAGACAAGAGGCCAATCGCTACCACACTACCTGATTTCTTTCCTTGAGAAGGCATTTTTGAATATGGAATAATCTTGAACCTATACTTTTCTTAGAAAAAAATCACATTCAAAGTTATGTATTTTATAGTGCAAATCAAATTACTTGCAGTATATCTCACAATTGATCACTGACGACAACATGCTTAAAGACTACAGCTGAGTGGCATGTTGGTTAAGAGTTGGCTTGGGATGCCAGCTATGAGCAGCAGGGCCCCGGTTCAGATCCCACATGTGGGCCAGTGATGCTGTACCCTCTACAGCTAAGATGGTGAACAACAGCTCGACCTGGAGCTGGGCTGCCATGAGTTGCCGGCGACAGCATAGGCTGCAGTGGGGCGGGTCAGCAGCTGGCATGAGCTACCATGAGTGGCCATCCAATGGCCAGCGAGCAACTGCCTCACCCAGGAAGAGTGCAATGATAATACCAACATGGGCCAGTGAAGCAACGTCCTCCACAACTAGACAGAAGAACAAAAGGACAGCAACTTGTCTGTTCTCCTCCCCCAATTCCCCAATAAAATCTTAAAAAAAAAGACTGCAGTCCTCCAAGACAGAGCTCAAATGAAATCAATCACAAACACACAAGCCTCACATTCTCACCATTTCCTGCTTCTCCAATCTCACCTCCCAACACTCCATCTCCACACCTTGGTCTGAAACAACTGGCTTGTGGTTCCTCATACTTACCACACCATTTTATATTTTTCTGGCTTTATTCTACAGTTTATTTACCTGCAGTGTCCTTCCTTCCCAGCCCCACTCCTGTCTTTCTTGAATATTTTATCCAATCATTAAAACTGTATGCCATTGTTTCAAGTACGCTTCATTCTTGGTACATACTTATGTTACTCAAACGTATCACACTGAATTATTGTCATATGTGCACAACCACCAGGCTATGAGCTTCTCAAGAGCTTGTACCTCAAAATACTAGCAAAGGAATAACTCACCTTAAAGATTTTTAATAACACATTGCTCCCTTGGTATATGTTAAAATAAGTACATTTTTACTACAGTTCTCTGTATCAACATAAAAGCCTGAAGAGTTCTCAATCTATCATGTACATTTGCAATCTTATCTGCAACATTAAAGAAACTAGTTGAATTAAGAAATAAAGATGATGACCTCTTATCTTTAAATATCCGATTACAGAGAGAGAGAGGGAGAAAGACAACGACCACTTGTACTCTTAGAGGAGTTAGAAATGCTTCCCAAACAATCATTCTCTGTAGGGAATTAGGGCACTGTCCTCAGAGTGTGAGATTTGGGCTCTAAATCCAACCATGCTATTAATACTTACTGGTCGGCAAAATCAGACAAATCACTTGACCTCTTTGAAACTTGTTTTTCTAATCTATACCAGAAGGATGATAATTCCTATCTTGTGCAGATATCTGAGATCTAGGTTAACATTGCAAATTCTCCCTCCGCCACCCCAGTTCCATGGCTTCTCTAAAATTTCTGACAATCATCAAGGGTTTACGATCTCATGAATTCCATGCTTTCCAGAACCATAATTGGCTGTATGCTGCTCCAGTGCTGGCTCACGCTGATGCAGATTTTAAAAAGCAAAAAAACAAAAAAAACAGTACCTTCTTCATAATCTATTAAAAATCAACCTAATCTGTGGCTGAATGTAAAACATTTTACTGATTATTCCCAGAAATGTGCATGTTAGACATTTCTGGTCTCTAAATCCATTTTGGTCAGCACACACCACCACTTCTGCTGAGGTTTTGTCTATTGGCCTTTCCACAGGCAACACCCAGGCCTCTTGCTCCAGCTCTGGGTCCTGTCTTCCCTCCCTTTTCTCCTCTTTTCATCACTTCCTTCTCCTGCCTTTCAGGAACAAAACAATGAAGTCTTCTTTTCTTGTGCATATTGAGTCCCAACTTATTCTCTTACCTTTATCTTCAATCTTGGCCAGTCTCCCCTATCCTAAGTCATTTTATTTAGGTATTTTCTTTCCTCTAAAATGATTTTTGATTACTGTGCTAAAATAAAGAAATGCTTTTCTACAAACTCCCCTCTTTATTTCTAAATGTCAGGGCCAGAATAGAGTCAGAGAACTTCTAACCCAACCCTCTCATTTTAAAGTTGACGGATGCTTGGAGGAGTTTAATGAATTGTCTGGGTAAATGACAAAATGTAGGGTATAATAACACTAAAATTTATGTACTATATTCAGGACTCATTTCTTCAATGCAATATTCTCCTGCTAATTTGTACTTTTTTTAAAGTAAATATCTCTATTCTGGCTTTTTGGCCTAGCTGAAATTCATAAATTTTGTGAGTCTGAGAATACAGAAAGAGATGAATAACGCTCGCTCCCACTTACTCAGCCCGTGTGATGAACATCTTCCTTTTTGGTGAATGAATGTGTCAATGTTAAGAGTTATCTTCAGTACAGTCTTTCTTGTGCATCTGGAACAGTGCTCAAAAGAGTAAAATACTTGCATAATAATACCCTATGAAAACTAGATTCAAGTCAGTTGTGCAGAGGTATTTTATTCAGAATATTACAGTGAAAAAGGATATGGATATTCTTGGTTTGCAAAAATATCAACCCAAATCTTGCCTAATTCACAAAATCTCAACATACATAGCTCCAATTAAATAAAAACTTCAAAATAACTTCTCAAGAGAAGTCATGATGGGGAGATTTGTTCTGCCAAAACCATCACCTGTGATCTGCTCCAAAAAAACTTCCAAAGGATTATCCCTGGAACCAAGACTATGAAAGTCCCTTATTGCTATTAGGGACCTTCCAACTCCCTTAACAATTTAATGGTGTGATTCTCAAACATAAAGAAGTTAAGAAACTTTCTAAGTCTAATGGGTGTGATTCCCAAGTTACATTAACCAATTAAGGACCAAAAAAAATTAAATAAACATTTTTAAAATTATGTTAAGTCATTTGGCTTAGTAAAAGACCTAATTTTTGAGCAGCATTTGTGCAAGCAGAACTAGAGACTACTTGCCATTCCTTCTATAGATTGCCCCTAATTATACAGCAAACATTCCAATTAATAGAACTGTAGAAATTCTTTCCATATGGCTTCTGAACTTGTAAAGTGACCCACTTATTTTCAGAAATCACTCCAAATATCACAATTATCTGAGTAATAAAAAATATATATCCTTACTGAATTTTCACATGGCCACAAAGTGAAGAGAGGTCATTGATCAATCAGATAATTTATTACAATCAAATGCCCTTGAAATAGGCTAAGTTCCTAGTACAATGTTTGTGATTTTATAACGATTATATAATAACCCCTGATAGTTTAGAGCATTAGAATGAGTACTGCACTTAAAGTAAGAGTTATGGATTGAAACTCAGCTCAACTACTGATTAGCTAAGTGGTCTTATACAGTCATGGCATATTAATTGCATTAATGACCCAGTTCTTCACTCCTTCCGAGGCCCACCTAGTCTGATTTAAGCCTTAGGTGTGGGCTTACTGTGGTCACCATGGTATGAGCAAATATAATGCAAGCAGACATGTAAATCACTTGCACAATTAGGTTAGCCTTCTCTCTTCCATCTCTGCTATTGTCATGAGACTAATTCCAAGTTAGCCAACTGGAGGATGAAATGCACATCAAGCAGAACTGAGTTGCCCCAGTTGCCACAGTTGAGGCCATCCCAGGTGAGCCAGCTGTCATTCAATCCTCAACAAATGAATGAGCCCAAAAACAAGCCAACTCACAGTTGATTTGAGATTCAAAGATAATCTAGTTAAGGTCACTTGGCTTCAGCCCAGGTAATTGCATCTCATAGCCGTTAGTAAATGTTTATTTTGGTATGCCACTGAGGTTTCATGATTGTTTATTATGCTGCAGCACTGTAGCAATTTAAAGGTAATATAACAATAGATGTTTTCATTACGAATCCAAGGTTAACTCACCTGGGCCTTTATCCTTCTTAAAAGAATCACAGTTTTATTCATTTTTCTATTCCATATTTATCCATAGAATAGCCTGATTAGTTCAAATCTCCTCCTTGCTTTCTAGAAGCCTTATATTTTTATTTTTTATATTGAAATATACAATCCATCAGGAATTAATTTTTGTGTATGGTATGAGACAAAGATCAAGATTTATTTTTTACTATGCAGATACAATTTGACTCAGCATAAATTATTGAAAAGATCCTTTCCCCACTGCTTTGTAGTGTCACTCTTCATATAAACTATTGGGTTATCAGCAAAGTCATGATGCATTTTTGCAACAAAAAACATAGAAAAAATACGTCATGACTTTTCCAACAACCCAATAATTGACCATATTCCTATGGATCTGTTTTGGGCCTCTTGTTCTGTTCTGCTGGTCTATTTTTCTATCTTTGTATCAATGCTACATTGTATTATTGACTGTAGCTCTATAATAAGTCTTCATTTCTGGCCCTCTAAATTTTTT